AGTAAGATACAGAGGAAAGTGTGTGCTCACTGTATGAGACAGTGAGACGTCAAGGGTGTGGGCGAGGGTGGGGAGGGCTACAGTTGCCATATAGGGCACTCAGCATACTTATTTTATTTTATTTTATTTTGACTTAGAATTTTTTTTACTATTTAAGTCTAGTATTAAGTACAGTTAGGGAGAAAAGCTTAAAAGGTACCTAATTAGAGGGACTACAAGGGTCTTGTACACCCTCTAATTAGGCCCCTTACAGTATGTCCCTCAGGTGGCTTGAACTACTGGCTCTGCATTCAGATACAGCTTTGTTTCTCCAAACCAAAAGAGCTTTGTGTTTCTGTCTAATTGGCTGCCAGGTGGACAATAGAGAAATAGGATTTATTAAATATTTATTTCCTTTCCCCTTTATTTTCAATTAGATTTTCTAAATATGCTCTTAAGTATAAGAAACACAGAACTATAAATTACAGTAAAGAGTAATTTAACATTATGATATCTGTTGAAAAGTTTCTGTTGTTACTTATTGTATGTTGCCTAGGAAAACCCTTGAGAGATTGTATCTTAATTATTTCTCATTGCTGTGATAATCTTGCCACATCTCTAATCATGTCTTATTAACACAGACAATAATTATAATACATAGTAGTAACTACAAATTGCAAGTGCAAGTACACATGGTTGTTAGTGTTATCAAAGGGCAAACAATGCTAAGAATGCTTACCTTTATAAGGCTACTTGCTGTGGACCATGTTAAGTATTTCATCCCACATCCTGTTTCGTACATTATGAAGTCTCATTGCAACAGCCCCTGAACACAAATCACAAATAGGATATTGATCCTTTGTCCACCATGCAGAACACAGAACATCATAAAAATTTTGCATGACAGTATCAAAGAAGTTCTGTATTATTGATCGGCATGTTTCTCTGGAGTCTCCCTTACATGCCAAAACCAATCGACAAGTGATTCTTGCACTCAGCAGTAAGGACTTCAGTGTCTCCTTTAGCTGGCCAAGTTTAAGAATGTCCTGTGCACTGAGCAGATTCCACCGTGCTCCTTTCTTGTGAGGATCGAACTTTGCATTGGGGTCTGAGGGCCACTCTTGGTAATAGCTACACCTTGAGAGATCGTAGAATGCAGCTGCCAGGACGCAATCAATGCCAAATTGTTTGGCGAATACAATCGCGGATGCAGGCTCTGGCAGGAGGGAACTCGGCCATGCAGTTAACAGGTCTGGTACACACATTTCGGACAATTTGAGGTCGATTTCATCCCATTCCTCAAGGGTCTTTGGCCATGCAGCTTTAAATCGGTTTTCTAGGTGCGATCCAATTTCTTTAATCTCGTATTTGCGGACCATAGCCATCAATGGGGTCAGTTGTAACGGAAGGTCTGGGTCCCGGTTGTCAAATTCGAGGTATCTGTAAATACATTAGGTAAATCCAAAGAACAAAACATATTTGCTTACAGTGGTTCGTAGAAAGCTTTAATCATAGCTTCAATTTGTTCTGCCGTATCTGGCATTCTTATGAGAGCAGTGCCATCGTACGTCTCATTCTGGTCTTCCGTTGAGTGCCCGCGGTCTTCGGACGTTGGCAGTGTAAACATATCACGGAAAACTTCTGAGTGCTTTGACAGAACACTCTTGTGAATACGGAACAGCAGACCTGGCGGATCTAGCTGATTCGTACTAGCAAGGAGTATGACATTGCCATCGTCGAACCAAAGAGATGAATGGCGGGCAGGTTCACAAGTCATATTGAAATGCAAAGAGTAACGACTTCTTCGACTGGCAGTATGAGCAAGAATGTGTTATAGTCCTAGATGCAGTAGCTGACACGAGTCAAAAGCAGACAGAGGAGTCAAACACGTATTTCGTGTGTGTTTACTGTAAGTACGTAATACAAGCAGCTGCAATGAGTCGATGTCACCACTTCGAGAAATCTGAGCCAGAAACTGTCGAATTCAAAATGATTCGCAGAGCTTCACTAAACCGCAAAGATATCTTATCATTGCAGCCATTTGAGACATTATTTGGCTGTGTGCTCGCTGCTTTTCGCAAATGTACGATCGATAATTTATGATCACCAATTGTGCAACAAGACGACGTATTGATTTTGGACAAATGAACGACTGCTCAATGTGACGTAACGTGACGCGACTAAGCACGCCACACGCAGCCACAGACTCAGAGTAGATTTCTCAATATTATATTACCAACATGTCCTTGGCATATGCGCTTGAGAAAGAGGTCGCTGTAGCGGCCGTCCGCCGTGCTTGTCAGCTCACGTCTTCCGTATTCAACAAGCTCGTCAAGGGCGAACAGCTGATCAAAGACGACAAGTCGCCTGTGACTGGTCTGTCCAGGCCTTTGACGCCGCTGATTTGCATATACTCACTCTTGTCCCTTATCTGTGGCGCGAAACTCCCTTGACAGTTGCTGATTTCTCCGCCCAAGCCGTCGTGAACACAATTCTTTCAAATGCCTTTCCAGGTGATAATATTATTGGCGAAGAAGATTCAGGAGATCTGCGTCTTGACACAAACAGCGAACTCTGCCACCGCGTTGTTCAGCTTGCGAACGAGGCACTGACGTCTGAACTTGCCCTTGGTGACAATGTACAATGGGGAATTGGGCCTGGAAGTGAACGAACTTCAGGCCAGCTTCTAGATGCAATAGACCGCGGCAGGCATCCCGGAGGTAGACTTGGCCGTGAGTTGTCGTTCTGCTTGGTAAGACTTTTATAATTATAATATGTTATAGGCATGTGGACTCTAGATCCTATTGACGGAACGAAAGGCTTTATTCGTGGAGAGCAATATGCGGTCTGCCTTGCCTTTCTCGTCAATTCGGTAGTTGAAGTGGGTGTTATCGGATGTCCGAATTTACCGGCCGACATTTCAAAACCCGACGAACGGAAAGGATGTTTGTTCATCGCTGTACGCGGCCAGGGTGCAGAGCAGGTATGCAGGAACTGTTCTCGGGAGCGAACGCTTTCAAATGTTTTCTGTTAATTTCCCAGCGTTCTTTGAATAATGCCCAGCCAAACCCCCTCAAGGTGCCCACGTTCAAAGACTCGGACATAAATATACTAGAGTCTGTTGAACCTAGTCACTCTGGACTTGGTTTCAACGAGCGGGTCGCAAAAATCTTGAATATTTCTCGTCCTCCGACACGATTAGACAGTCAGGCAAAATATTGTGCTCTCGCTCGCGGAGACGGAGCAATCTATCTCCGGATGCCTGCTAAACCGGACTACAAAGAGAAGATATGGGTAAGCTTTCGTTGCTTTAACATCGTGATTGCAATGACTATAAATAACATATGATGTAGGATCATGCAGCTGGGTCGCTCTTAGTAGAGGAGGCGGGCGGTATTGTTTCTGATTCACGTGGGAAGCCTCTGGATTTTGGACTTGGGCGTACGCTCGGAGAGAACTACGGAATTCTCGCTACTGGGAAAGCTCTACACGGACGGGTGATGGACGCTATTAGACAAGCAAAGGAGGAAGAGGCTGACTTTGTAGGGACTGGCGAATCTCAAGTATAATCTAGCACTCGTATTGGCTATTGCTGTCACTGAACAATCACATATATTGTTGATTAATGACACAGATTTTCTGCGTGCTGGATCTTGAACCAGACTCTTCGTCAGCGCCACGAGTGCAGGTTTTGGTCTTCAGAGTCAGATATTGATTGTTCTTTCCGTCGGCTCCGCTACGGGCAGAATTGGACCGTGAGGCAGCATCACGAGACTGCATCTCGACCTACCTCCAGCTGTCTTTAGGATTCTCGGGGAAATCTCGGCTGCTCAGCAGACATAAGGCGCTAATTGCTACGAATTCTTTATAAGAAGCATAAATACTTTGCGAAGTTCTAGCAGAAGACAGCTTTCGTAGACTACCTGATGTTATACTCGACTTCATGATGCGCCTGGCGAAAGTCGTCTATTCACTTGTCAGCTTTGTGCTCTATGCTGCCCTTGCTCAGGAAATGATTCAGAACAATCATCCCTTGATACATTTTCATGGAAGATGGGATGACAGTCCTGGAAGCTGGTGGTGAGTATCAAGATACATGAGTGAGTAATGTAATAACGTGGTTATGATGTCCCCTTGAATAGGGCAAGCACAGGCTTCAAGCTGAATATCGAGAATCTAAAATCATTGACATTGAATTTGGGGCTTCATACAACTTCCCCATCTGCGCCGATTGGCGTATCGGTTGATTATGGACCGTTCTCGACAGTCAATGTCTCTGCTGGGAGCAATGTAATTCCACTTGTTTCCTCAATCACAGAAGGCAAGAGAAACACCGTTGTTCGTATCAACTCGGAAGCATGGCAGAATAATCGCCTCAATCTCGAATCAATTGAATTGAACTCGGTCAGTAATCATGCTCTTAATCAAGAGTTTGTTTCATTGAAGCTGATGTATGTTATTCACAAAAAGGACGCAAAATTTTTACCATACACACCTTCCAAGCTTACGTTCCAGTTCATCGGTGATTCCCTTTCAGCAGTACGTCACATTCCCGTATCCCAGCTTTCGGTGATATATTTCCACGCTATTTCATCCAGGGTCAGTATCTTCCGCAAGGCGTCGACCAAGCTTGGCCGTTCCTTGTCAGCGAGGCTTTCAAAGCCGAACATGTCATTATTGCTCAGCCCGGGATTGCTCTAACTGTATTTTTCCGTTTTAGACACTATGTATGCACATTTGAATTCATATTTTATCCGCAGGACATACCATCATATGGAAATCCGCGTGGAATGTCTGTACAATTCTTCGACGTAAGCCTCTACATTTTTTTTCATTGTTTTGGCGAACTCACATGTATCTTGTGTTATTGTGAAGACTGAAGATGCAGGTTATATCTATTCTATGGACCATAACTACACAACGCCATGGAATTTCAGGTGCGATCTACCGACTCCTGATGTTGTAGTCATCCACATAGGGTACGCAAATACCTCGAAGTACAGAAGTTGCACGACTTATGCAATTATTTCAATTAGTGCCAACGATAATGGACAAAATGTGCCTGCCGAAACGTTCGTCCAGGTAAGTGCAATAATTTGAACTTCACAGACCACCATTAAACATACCTTCCGCAATAGAACTATTTGGACTTCCTTGCACATTTGAGGAAAATATACAAGACTCAGCCGATGCTTCTCTTCACTCCGGTTAGTAACTCGTTTCTCTGACGTAAAGTCATTGAACATTATGAATGTAGTGGGGTTGGCCGCAACCTGATGGAAGTATCAGCTACTATTACCAGGGGAAATACGAAGAGATCCTCTCCCGCTGGTAGGCTATATGCGTATCTTCAGAGCATGCGTTAACTTCTGCCTCCATCAGGCAAAAGTCTGGAGGCCGAGATACTTTCCTGGTGAATGCTACAGGTTGGGTTTCGCTAGAAGATGTAAGTCAAGCTGTATATATGAAATTGTATCTCTGATAATTACCAATATGTTACAGGTCTTTCCTGAGTACGTTGCAACCACTTGACTTTAGCTCGTCCCATGTTTCTGATGAGTATACATTTTCTAAAGCAACCTGCATCCCACCGTCTCTGGTCATCAGAAAATAGCAGGACTCTTCGAAGAGTGGCTGAACATTTTCGGCATTCACCCGCAAGAGGAGTGGGAGACATTGGTGCATTGAAGAGTAGCTGTCGTCCCGAATCTTCCGTTGTAAAAGCACCTTCCTTTCTAAGAGTCTGTGCAAATACGGGTAAACAATTTTACAAAATGACCATGTTAATAGCACGTGATGCAAATTTGGTCGACAAAACGTCAATGCATTGCTTTCCAAATTGTTATCACTCAATTACCTCCACTTTGATTTAAAGCAAGTGCTCCATCCGAAGATAAATTTCTTGCCCCGAAGTTTCCATTGAAGAGCATTGTCTCCGAAACTAGAGGACTCAGTGATTCATGAGGATTTTCTCGTGATCAACAAGTTTTCAGGGTTGGCGGCGTCTGTGAATGCAAGAATGGCAACACACACATGGTCGTTTGTCTTCTGGAATGCTGAAGCAGTGACTTCTCCTGTCTTTGCTATATTTACTATGCCTTCGGGGCTTCACACCGAGCCGCACCTTTTTGGTATTTTAGTTGTTGCGGGTCAAACACCTTAATCAACCTAGTCGTATCCGTGAGGACCAATACGAACCAGGCATAACAGTACGGATCTCGGTCAGCATAATGAGGACCTAGCTGCCTGGAAGATAACGAAGGCAATTTTACTCAACATTATCGATGTTCGGACGTAGGCTTGGGACACACCAGGAACGGCCCAAGCGGGCTCTTTCACTGAGATTACGTGCTGTGCATAGTACAGGAGACTCGAGAGCGTTCACTTGGCTTTCTAGTCATCTAGCCCAGGCACCATTGACTAAGGTGTCACACTCGAGTGCGTTCCACATGTTACATTGTGAAGCTTGTTTCTTATGTTTGATGTGCGTTGCTATCTAATCCTTAGGCAGCGAACTGCATCATGTGCGCCTTGACTGGCCCATAAACCCAGGCATTCAGACCATATCACCCTCAAACGCACAGTCTCGTCCAGGCTCACCGAATATACTCCCGATGTTTCCCGCTTGGTCCCGCTTAAGATGCATTTCTGTCTCCGGACAACTTACGGATCTTTTAATATCGAGAATTGCATGACGATCGTTCAATCCCATGTGATCACGTCCCTTTCATTATGATCGCATTGTCCGTATTGCAACGCGAGCTCGACAGCATGTGTTCACCCACCCGGCAAGTTATTCTGAGCTGGCAACTCAGGACGCAGGAATGAAACTTCTTGATCCGAAGGTACCACAGGAGGTGCTCAATACTTTCAAGTCTATTTGTCGGACGCCGCGTGAGTTACGTTGCACACGCTCATCTTCTCCGTGATCGCCTTGCGACGTCCATATGCAGCCACGGTCCTTGCAGAATGTGTCTGGCTCTCTTCCTGGGATTCTTATTGAATTGTATTAACTTTATGCCAGCGTGTCAATCTCTTTTGGTCGACCCAGATGACCTACTAGCGCCCTCCGTGAGAAGACAAAGATGCATCTTATGACTGTTTTTCCAAGAAAAACATATGGAAATGTCTGCGAGATTGCGTACCTGTCGGCGACTCCTCAGTTACCTCGCTTGTACAGCTGACAACGGGATGCACATGGTCATTACTTGGGCTCATATTACCTAGTGCTGCGCTTTTTGATATACAGGATCTGGATATATGAAGAGACGGTGAAGATTATGGTATAAAAGAGGCAAAGTGTTGAGCAAGACGAGTATCGAGCTGGAAAGCTTTTATCGCCCTCTGGCAAAATTTCAATTCTTACATTCAGTCTGATATCATGGCCTTCAAAGTCTACGTCTCTGGTGCTTTCCTTGCTTTTGTGGCAGAAGCATCCGCTAGGACCTTCACAGTTAAGAACAACTGCGCCTTTACTGTGTGGTAAGCGCCTTCCTCCCTTCAAGGTAGCAAAGACTATGCTAACTTCGCTACTCATGCAGGCCAGCTGTGAGCAGCCTGGAGTTTGCGGCTAATAGTGACAGTTACTTATTACATACTACAGACCTTCACGGATCTGAACGTCGGTACAGCCGTTCCAGACCACCCAACAGGGTAATCATGCAACGCCCCGTTTACGTTTGTGATAATCACTAATCCTCACGTCCATTACAGATGGGAGGCTGCACCAGGAACGTCTGTAAGCTTTAGTGTTCCGGACGACTGGAAGGCAGGCCGTATTTGGGGTCGCCGCGAATGTGACTTCAACACTGTTCAGGGTCCAACATCCTGTGTGACTGGTGGATGCAATGGAGGTCTTGAGTGCGACTCCTCAACTGGAACTGTACGCATTATCCCTCGCTACTGCGTTTGTGCACTAATACTAATGACTGTTCCTTTAGGGAGTACCGCCCGTAACGCTCGCTGAGTGGACCCTTTCAGCGGATGGGAACCAAGACTGGTATGACGGTAAGCGGACGCCTCTTCAGTTGAGATTCGTTATTAATATCTTGAGCTTTGTAGTCTCATTAGTTGATGGGTTCGACATACCCTTGAGCGTCACGAACAACGTTGGTTGCCCAACAGCTGACTGTCCCACCGATTTGAACGCAAATTGTCTGTATTAGTATCATTGACTGTTGTTTCATCACTGACTCCATACTGAATGAAAACAAAGGTCCGAGTGAATTACAATTGACCGACTCATCGGGAGCCGTAGTTGGATGCAAGACTGCTTGTCTCGCGAACCTCGATGGTAATCAAGGTGCAGTGTCCTTTTAAACATCAGTCTTTTCGCGCCCATTGATCTCTCCTTGTAGCGGATTCCGCAAATTGCTGCTCCGGCTCGCACAACACCCCCGCGACGTGCCCAAGTTCCGGCGTACAGTTCTATAGCTATTTCAAAGGCGGGTGTCCCAATTCGTATGCTTATGCCTACGATGAGAGCAGTGGTACTGCACTTTGGACATGCGATTCGACCAAAGCTGCCGATTATACTGTTACGTTCTGCCCTTGAAGATTCGGTCCCGATTGACGGTCCTTCTGTGTCGTTTCAGCGTTTCAAAGCTCAACGGCTCTCATGCGTATACCCTCCATCTTCTCATACACAAATCGTTGCCCAAGCTCTCGCACATTACACAGGCACGCTGTTTATCTTGTATTACTCGTATTACTCGTACAATTGCACGACGGGCCTTCCAGTTCCATGTGATTACGTTCTTCTCATTATAATCGCATTGTCACCATTGCAATACAAGCTGGGTATCATGCGTTCACCCACTCAGCAAGTCATTTTGAGCTAGCAACTCGGGACGCAAGGACGAAGAGTCATGATCCGATAGCACCACAGCGCTCAATAACTGGTCCACAGATCAGACGCCGCGAGTTGCCTTTTACAAGCCGAACTTCTCCGTGATTGCCTTGCAACACCTATGTGCAGTGATGGTCTTTATATGCTGTGTACTTATGCCAGGTGTTAATTTGTCCTGGTCGCCCCGAATTGCCTACTAAGGAATACCAAACGAGTGACTTATTACCGCTTTTCGCGGAGAACATACAGAAATGTTTGTGGAATAACATATCTGTCGGCGTCTCCGCAGCTGTTATGCACACGGTCATCACTTGAGTTCATATTCGCCGGTGCTGTGCTCTTAGGTCCGCATAATCTGCATGTATGAAGAGAGGACGGGGGTTATGGTATAAATAAGACGAAGCACTGAACATGGAGGCTACTGGCATTCAGAGCTTTCGTCGCCCTCTAGCCAATAATTCATTTCCGCACTCAGATTAACAACATGGCATTCAAAGCTTATATCTCCGGAATTTTTCTTACCTTTGTGGTAAGAGCATCTGCCAGAACTTTCACAGTTAAGAATAGCTGCTCCTTCACCGTTTGGTACGCACTTTCATTTCTTTACAAGATCAAAGACTTTGCTAAGTTCACTACTGATATAGGCCAGCTGTGAGCAGCTCAGAGTTTCTGTCTTGTTTATGGTGATGACTTACTGCATACTTCAGATTTTCACGGATTTAAACGTCGGTACAGCCGTCCCAGACCAACCAACGGGGTAATCATACTTGTCGTTTTGTTTGCGTGCGATAAATGCTGATCACGTGTCTACCACAGCTGGGAGGCTGCATCAGGAACATCTGTAAGCTTTACGGTCCCAGACAACTGGAAGGCTGGCCGTATTTGGGGTCGCCGCGAGTGCGACTTCAGCACTGTTCAGGGCCCAACATCGTGTGTAACCGGTGGATGCAACGGAGGTCTCTTGTGCGACTCCTCGACTGGGACAGTATGCATTTTCTCTGGCCTCTAGATTTGTGCGATATTAAAGGTTTTCTTTAGGGAGTACCGCCTGTAACACTCGCTGAGTGGACCCTACAAGGTGATGGAAATCAAGACTTTTATGATGGTAAGGATGCTCCTAAAGATAAGTCAACTTAATAATACCTTGTTTTCGTAGTCTCGTTGGTTGATGGCTTCAACGTACCCTTGAGCATCACGAATAACGTTGGCTGCCCAACAGCGGACTGTCCCACTGATTTGAACGCCAACTGTTCGTTTTAAAAATATTGACTATTATTTCGCCGCTGATTCACGGTGTATATTAATATCAATCAAAGGCCCAAGCGAATTACAACTGAACGACTCATCGGGAACTGTAGCTGGATGCGAGACGGCTTGTTTCGCAAACCTTGATGGTAATCAAGGTGCGGTGTCCCTTTATATATCGGGCTCTTCCCGCCCATTAATCTCTCGTGATAGCGGACTCTGCGAACTGCTGTTCAGGCTCGCACAACACTGCCGCGACTTGCCCTAGCTCTGGCGTCCAGTTCTATAGTTACTTCAAGGGAGGGTGCCCTAACGCGTATGCGTATGCGTTCGATGAGAGTAGCGGCACTGCGCTCTGGACCTGCAGCTCGACTCTGGCTGCCGATTATACTGTTACGTTCTGCCCTTGAGGATTCGGTCTCAGACCCCGACTCATGGCCCGCTCCGCCGCTTCATCATCGTGTCAGAGATCAGCGGCTCTCACGTATATATCTTCTATCTCCTTGTACACACATTCCTTGCACAGCCTCCCGCACATTCTGCAGGCATATAAGCACCTTGTAGAACTTGTACCTAATTTACAGGATAAACACGCTTTGTTCTCTCCCATATGGAAGAGCTGGATAACTGCTATCCGATCTCTGAGAAGAAAAATCAAATTTGGGGAAGTTTGATAACTCACTTCCGGGCGCTTGAGCTGTTCGAAGCCATGCGTACCTCGACTACCAACTATTACCGCGTTTTGCGCGCTGATTTCTCGGATGAGAAGAGTCCAAAACAGTCCAAAAAGGTGTCCAATTAACCAAGGTCAAGTCACGTGACGGCACAGCCTCACGGGCCTCGAACCTAAATTATACGCGTCATAGACGATCCCAATATTTGATGCTTTAAGCGAAACTCATATAAAGGCTCCATACCCTTTGCTCGCTTCTGTTGCTTCCCCCCACTTAACATCCCTGTAGCCCTCGCTCTTGATTTTTGAGACGCGAATATTCAGTCGTGCTCTTAGGAAATATAAAGCAGAGCAAAGAAGACACGAAAAAACCGACAACATGCATCGCAAATTCTGCATTCCGGGGATAATCTTCCTGACAGCAGCGTTGGTGCTCCTTATCATCGTCTCCATCTCCCTGCCTTTCTTCAGCGCTATGGACTTTGTCCGTGTCCACTTCGGGAACTCAATTACTGCAACTTTCGGTGAAGGCATCAGCCAGCTTCGTGTAAGTTAAGACTGTGTCTTGGGTTATTGCGATTTGATTGATGTGGCCTTCGTAGTTCGGTATCTGGTAAGAAGCTTGCTTGTTGCGCCCATGCCACACCAGAGACTAATTTTCACCCAATAGGTCATTCTGTTTCTACGACGCGTCGAACGGCAATCGTACTTGTTCTCCGAAACGTAGGTTTTAAAGTGGCTCATTCTTGCTTTCACCGCTTTGCTCCCACTTTGTATCCCATTGTCGTTCTATTTATTCTTTGAATTTCGAATTAATTATGTTCGCTAATGGTGATCCGTTAACTGACAATGATGCCTTTTTTCTAGATCATGCGTACTCCGTTGGAATTCGTTCGCCCACAAACCTCAACCAAATTGAAATCATCGGAGCCAGTTGGACTCGCGGACTCGCCATTCACCCTGTCGGTACGTGTTTTTGAACTTTGCGCGATAGCATCCGACGCGTTGCTAACTCATCTCCTTCATTTCTTTTTTTACCCTCGCGTTCCTCGTAATTCATCAAACTTAATTTCCTCCGAATTGATGGAATGATGCGCCTGCGCCAACCTTCACCGCCTCCTGTACCTTTCCGCACCGCCTACTACGTGATTACGGCTATTCGGTAAAATAATTCGTGCTGTGCAGCGGCCGCGGTCACTTTCGTCGCGTTCCTCTTCTCCTTCTCGACGCACGTGACGTTCACTCTCGTCGCATCGCTGCTCTCGTTCCTCGCCGCTGCAATCACTTTCATCGCCTTCTTGTGCGACATCGCTCTATATGCGTTTGTTCATAATAAGATGGGTGACCTCGATGGGGTCAACCCGAACACAGACACTGGTCCCGGTACGTCCCATTTTGTATACCTGTCCGATTTTAAAATATATTCGCTGATGTATGGTTTTCTGCTTCTTGACAGCATTCTGGCTGACGTTCGTCTCCTTCATTCTGCTGCTCCTTGCTGGCTGCACGGTCTGCTTCGGTCGTCGCCGTGCGCGCATGGATGGCGCGAGCAGCTCGTATCCTATGACCAATAAGCCATTCTGGAAGCGTTTCCGCCGTGGCGGTTACTAAAACCATTTCCAAGCTATACCAAGTCTCCATCGATTTATCTTTGTGCAAGAGGACAATCGACTCCCGGAGTCTCGCGAGTTGCTTTGTCCTTGCCTGATGGCTACACTTCTGATGATCCGATTTTGCGAGTTTTGATTTGTTTGTTGTTTTCGACTTTTTGCATTATTTATCCACCATTTCTTACATGGAGCTCTTTTTGAATCTTTTCCCTTGATTTATTCCCCTGGTCACCATTATGTTTTGTCCCATTAGCGTCTACTACTTACTAAAAAATACCCTGACACAAATATTGACTTGACGATTCAACGAATTTGATTATCCAGAGACTGATATGAGAAAAAATTTATGTGGTTTTAAATATACAATATATTCAAGCATCCACGTCAGACGAGTAAAAACGTAGACAAGTACATATCAAGAGTAAAAAATAGTAAGTAACAGACGCAATCAGCACCAAGAGCAAAAAATAAATCAGAAAACGGGCACAGGGAAACAAAGGCACGTGCCAAAAATCTCAAGGCGTCAGCGCAATGAGAAACGAGACAAGAAAGGGAGTGAGTGAATACGGCACGACGAGTATTGCCCTGAATGAGGATGAAAACCCTTTGTCCTCATGCTGTGCCCTCAACCTTCTTCTTTCCAGAGATTGTAAGTGCTTTGTGGATAAATGGCAGGACACCGCCACCAGCAATGGTTGCTTTGACCAATGTATCGAGTTCCTCATCCCCACGAATGGCAAGTTGGAGGTGGCGAGGTGTGATACGCTTGACGCGCATGTCCTTTGAGGCGTTACCTGTGGAAAGAAGAGTGTCAGGAGGTGGCAATGCAGAATAAGAGGCGTCACAAAAGAAATGATACATACCAGCAAGCTCCAAAACCTCAGCAGTCAGATATTCAAGAATAGCAGAAGTGTAAACTGCAGCCTTCGCCCCGATACGCACGTTGTGCTGCGTGCGTTGCTTCAGATAACGGTGGATACGTCCTACAGGGAACTAAGGTGATGATCGTGTTAGTACAAAATAGCACACAGCAATGGCGCTAGTAGACGTACTTGAAGCCCTGCCTTGGCACTACGGGTCTGGGCCTGTGTCTTCGTCGCACCTGCTGCTGCTGCGGGCGCAGCTGCCGCCTCGCTCGACTTTGACTTTCCACCAGAACCTTTAGGAGGCATGTTTAATTCTTGAAGCGGTTAATTGATTGAGGATGTTTCGGATGCTGTGAAGATATTCGTCAGCACAGGATATTAAGCAAAGTAAGAAGAGGCAGGAATGCATAACGACTGAGGGTATCAAGTACCATGTCTCAAGGGGTGGTGGCCAGCACATTCCATTGTGAGTGATTATTTTCCTTGTTCACTCACCTATGTAAGCAACAGCCTGATCAATTATTGTCCCGAATCGCCCTTTCTTTTTCCGTTCAGCACGTCTGCTTGATGATTTTGCAATCTGAAAAATGCATCACGCGTCGAGTCAGCAATGACACGTCGAGTGTACGCGAGTTTTGTGAAGTAGCTTACCAGACGTGGTGGTGGGCAGAACGTGAAATGTGTGCGCGCGAGGAATTCGGTTACGCGCGACTTGTTGAGTTGTTAAGGCGTGGGAACACACCACGAGAAACCAAACCATCTGAACAAACAAATAGACGTCAACAAAGAAGGTCCTCTTTGAAAACGGACGAGGCGAAATTAATGTAATTACCAGATAATAGCCGACCCATATCCTTTTTGCACGAGTCAAAGAAAGGCCACATGTCGGCTTGTAGGACGAAACAAACGGTGGAGTGCTTGACCTGTGAGTCACAACCCTACGCCTACGAATTGCAATCTTTGTCTGGAGCAAGTACGACCTCTAGTTGCCCTGTCAGATGTGCAAGGATTTCAGTATGCGAGAATTGATTGTATAGCAGATGCGACACTGAGTTTACCATACATTTGACCAACATCAGCGAGGAGTCAATGGTTGTCGCCGTCGTGAATGCGGAGACAGTTCTCGATGACAACAAAGGAAGGAGTAAACCCAGAGCTACCAAAAGAGGGTGTTTTAAGCTACTTTAGGAATCCCATGGCTGCATACACCCACCCACACTACATTAAACAGACCCTTCTAGAGTTTTCCTCCAAAATCTGTTATCACTACTAAAGGTTCTTAAAGCGAGGTGCTGTGCACACAACCGTAACTGCGTGGAGCTTTCACAATGTCGTCAAAGACTACTGAAATCGTCGAGACGCAAACACCAAGTACCACTGGTCCTATTCCTGCTCTCCCTGCGCCTTCCGACGTCAGTGATGCTCAGAAAATAGATCTCAGCTCAGAACAGCTTGCTGCACTCAAGTTTGACGCACTTGGGCCGATGGTGGTCAATAGCGATGGTGTGAGTATACTTAGAATCATACTTTGAGAATTGCTCGAACGATTCTGAACTGATCTTTGTTTTAGACTTTGTCGCGAATCACAAATTGGGAAAAAATGACGGAAATGGAACGAGAACGCACCATGCGTGTGCTTAACGCTCGTAACAGGTAGGTGTTCATTATACTCTTTGAAGAGGTAATGAGTACTAGGTGATCATTCATCTCCATCATTTAGATTACGCCTCGCAAATGAACAAGAGGAGCAAGGCTCGGATATTCGAGGCGACGTGGTCAGCCTAAGTAATTCAGCGGCATGATAGTGTTCAAATACTACTGTAATCTGCTTTGAGAAATTACCTGGCCCATTTACTCCCAGCCGTTTCTTTGTATAAAATTTTTGTCTTTACCGAGTTATCGTGTTCCTATATACCAAAAAAGTCAGAAATTTAACTTTTGCATTTTTATACTTCTGCATTCGAGATGCTTTGACTTGATAGAATATAACTAGGAATGAAGTAAAATTTAAACACTGACCGAGTGGCCTTTACAATACTCTACAATGGATATTCAAACCAGCAAATACAACTTATACAAGCCTAAGGCATGGTCGTTTCCAGGAGCTATGTCAAAACCATGTATAACTTGTTTACATTAAGTTCGCCAACTCTCCCTGCTTCTTTTACACTTACTCGTCGTTTTGCGTCGTCTGCTAGGTAATCTATCCGTCTCTGCTTTAATTTGTAACATACAAATGGTTTGAATATCAAGCAACAAGTTTCTTATGTAATATATGTAAAAGGATGCCGATACGCAGTTAGGAACACAGTTCAGTCACACGCCTTCACCAGTTCCAGCGTCACTAACTTACCCTTCATTCCTGTTATTGAGTGTTTATAAAGGTCAGTTTGCGATTCTTCCATTAATATTGGGAGCCAGGTGGAGAAACTTATTGCTTGTTCGGTAAATTCATAGGGAAAGTTTACCTCGAGTTATCGTCTCCCGATAGCTGGTATCACTTATCACACAAGTAGTTCGCAAGCGTGCTAATATACTATGAGCATCGATTCTCTCCCTCTGGAGACACTGATCGATATTTTTCACGAGTGTATTCTCAACATCTCTACCCGAGAGGAAAGTATTAGCGTACCGGTTGGAATTTCAGCTGTTTGTCTATGGACGTACCTGGACTACTGCGTTGATGGAAGGCCACAAAAATGGATCGTTGAGATCTTTGACGCATGGCTGCACAGGTCAAACGGGGCACCACTTAACTTCTCGTTCAAATGTCACTTCGAGGATAATCGATCTCCAGAAGACAACCGAGCAGTGGGATGCGTCGTCTCATTGTTACTTTCTCATCAGTGGCATTGGGGAAAACTTGACTTTGACTGGAAATTCTGGACGTCTCACGACTTTCCTGGCATAGAGTTGACAAATATGCTAATGTTAACCTCACTTCGCTTGCACACCCTACTCGAAGAACACTATGAGACTGGAAGTATTGATTTGACACAGTCTTTGAAACTTGGCCATTTACGTCTTGAAAGTCCGTTTCTTCTCGAAATTGGATCTGGGCCCATGCATTGGGTACAAAGGCGACACTTGTCCCCACAACAGTATCTAAAATTTCTCAAGGTGGTCCCGAATTTGGAGGAATTCCGGGCTGTTGGTGGAAGTCTGATGATGGATATTGTCCTGATGTGATCATGCATAACCTCTGGTTTCTTTCATTGCATGGCTTCGATGGAAGGCTGGTAATTGACGAACTGCTCCTTCCTGCCTTGGGAGGACTTCGATACCAGGATAACGGACTTGGAAACGGAGCTGGGAGTCTCTTGAAATTTGTCCAACGCTCCTTACCACCACTGAAACATCTGCAGATGGGCGGTAATTGTGCAGACGGAGCTACACTTATACGTATTCTCCCTCTTCTTCCCTTGCTTCAGGTGCTCGAATTGTACCTTTGTGATATTTCGGCGCAGCTCTTCGAGCTCCTGTCCATTCCAAACGGTGTCGGAGCAGGTCCATACGCTTGTGATACAAGCAATCCGATCGTATGTCCCGATCTAAGATTCTTCCGTTTCCTCCAGTGTACAGTTGTTGGGGATTCGCATGACTGTGCTAATGCACTGTGCACCATGCTAGAGTCACGGCGGAATACTTTGAAGCTATGGAAAAGTATGGTAGGCATTGATGGTCCTCAATACCCAGACTTTGCAATTAATCGCGATACGGTGGAGCGTCAACTCAAAGATATAAAAGGAAGTGATTTTATTATCAAATGCATTGGTGACGCCTATCATGATTTGTCTGTGCTTGAGACGTAGAAGTTATGTTTCGTTGTTTGATTTCATATTTTTGTCAGGCATTTGTAGCTGATAACTAGTTGTACAGTGACTCATGAGCAAATGTTGTGTCTCTTGAGAGGGACGATTACATTTCAGATATTCATGTTTGGTTAGTGTATGAGTGACAATTTGCAATGGGCAATAAACCGTGCTGCATTTTTATTCCTTGCCTGTAGACAAAACTTTGCACTTGTGTATGACCAGTTCGAAAGAGTAAATTCACTTATTAGCACCAAAATTAAGGCTTTATATGCAAGTGTCTCCATTGTTTGCAATCTATCTAACATCACGAAAAAGTCGCAACACTTGTATTAGATTATAACCAGGTATATTTTATACTTTTTGTAAATTTCGTTAAAGCAAT